ATTTATAAATAAATTATATAGTAATCAATTATTCTATAATACAAGTATCCAAAAGGTTTAATAATAAAATAAAAAATTTATTAACTTCTCTGTTATAATGGAGTTAATTAATAAATTAAAGTTGCAGAAATAATTAAGTTGTGAATTTACAAAAAAAAAATATTTGTTTGTTTGTTTGTAAAGATATTAAACTATATTATATTGAACCAAGTTTTTAATTAACAAAATTTTGACAAATAATTGTATTCATTTGTAATATATACAATGCTAAGTATAAAATGCTCTGAATAAAGAGATAATTATAATTAATTTTAATAATTTAAAAAATCAAAAAAAGAATTGAAAAATACATAAATAAATAAAAGAATCATTTAATAAAAATAAAAAATAAAAAATTATATTATTTATATAATATTCTAATACATTTTTATCATTAGTATGATTAATTTTATCTGCATAATATTTTATTAAGAATAAAAATAATTATATCTATAATGTTACTTTATCTATATTATATTTAATCTACGATGAAAATTTATATTTAACTATATTTGATAAATGAAGTAATAAGATAATATGTTTATAAATACATATCATATTTTTTTTATAATATATTATTTTTTTAAGGAAAATATTGTTTATTAAATATATTTTTATAAATACCTTTCACGTATAATTACTTATGTATATTTACAAGTAAATGTAATTTGAAATTTATAATATTTTGAAAAATAAAATATATCTCCAAAATATAATTGTCTTTATTTAAAATAATTCTTATATAATTTTAATTTTATATGTACAAAATGAAATAAAAATTATTTTTACAAGTTATTTTTTGCGAAACTATTTTAGATTTCAATATTCTTTTTATTTAAATATTTTTTATGAGCCAATAACTCAATGAATTTTTAGCGGGTTTTATCTTCAGTCTTAAAAAATTGTCTTCATTTTTTTTTAAATTGAATTATATTAATTTTTCGTTATTTAGATAGTTAATATAGTTTAAAATATTTTTTTCTATTCAGAAATATATTGTAATAAAGTTTTTATTCTATGTGACAGAATATGAAAAAAGAAAAATTTATAAGTTATATATTTCGATGTATATAATGCAATTATGTATTATATCTTATATATATCAATAGTATACATATAAATATTTTATTCTATAGTTAATAGTACAATTAGTATTGTATGTATAATTAGTATTGTACACGTGTAGATATCTAACCTTAATCTTTCATGAAATTTTTAAAATTTAATTTATTTTTTTATGTACATGAGAATTAATTTATAAAAAATTTTTATAATTATATAAAAAAAAATATTCAAATTTAATTTTTAATTAGTTAATAATATTTTTAAATAATAATATTTTATAATAATTATAATTGATTATAAATGTAAGTAATAGAAAAACTTGAATAAATATTGAGATATAATGAAATATAAAAATTAATATATATTATATAATATAAATTAATATAAATAAAATTTAAAAAATATTAATTAATATTAATTAATTAATATAATTAATACATTTATATTTGAATGTATATTTGAATTATATGAATTATAAATATTATTTCAGACAAAATGGCAAAATCTCATGTAACAAATAAAGCTCCTAGAAAGGAGGGATTTAAGCGTTCTGGACACAGTATGAATCCTGAACGATCTATAGAAGGATTAAAGGGTGTAGCAAAAGTACGCACAAAAGCAACAATTAAAAGATTGCAAATGTATCGTAATCAAAAACCAAAGCGTGATCGTAAAGGACATATTATTAGTCCAGCACCATTTCAAGGTTGGCAACCGTCTGGTACTATGTCTCGTGTAGAACCTTCACAAAAATGGTTTGGTAATTCAAGAGTTATTTCTCAAAATGCTTTACAAAAGTTTCAAAATGAATTAGGAAAAGCAATGAAAGATCCTTATAATATTATTATGAAACCTACACAATTACCAATAACATTACTTCAACAAAAAGCTATAAATGCAAGAGTACATTTATTAGATACAGAAAGTTTTGAAAGTGTTTTTGGTCCAAAAAAAATACGAAAAAAACCAAATTTGATAATATCATCATATGATGAATTACAAAAATTAGCAAAAGAAAAGGAAGAAACATATAATATGGAAAAGGACTCTAAAGATATTGATCTTATACGTCCAGATGATGGTATTAGAGAAGCTCAAAGAGATTGGATTATGTCTGCAGGACAAAGTAAAAGAATTTGGAATGAATTATATAAAGTTATAGATTCATCTGATGTTATTTTACAAGTATTAGATGCCAGAGATCCTTTAGGAACTAGATCACCTCAAATAGAAAAATATCTCAAAACAGAAAAACCTCATAAACATTTAATGTTTATTTTAAATAAAGTAGATCTTGTTCCAACATGGGTAACACAAAGATGGGTTACAATTTTAAGTACAGAATATCCAACAATTGCATTTCATGCTTCTATGACACATCCATTTGGTAAAGGTTCTTTGATAAATTTGCTGCGTCAATTTGCAAAACTTCATATTGATAAGAAACAAATCAGTGTAGGTTTTATAGGATATCCCAATACAGGCAAAAGTTCAATTATAAATACATTAAGATCAAAAAAAGTATGTAAGGTTGCACCAATAGCAGGAGAAACAAAGGTATGGCAATATATTACTTTGATGCGACGTATTTACTTAATAGATTGTCCAGGTGTAGTTTATCCATCAGCAGAAACAGACACAGAAAAAGTTTTGAAAGGTGTAGTAAGAGTAGAACTTGTTCAAAATCCTGAAGATTATATTTCAGAAGTATTATCACGAGTAAAAGAAGATTATATTCGTAAGACTTATAAAATTATGGAATGGGATAATCATATTGATTTTTTAGAAAAATTGGCACGTAAAAGTGGAAAATTATTAAAAAAAGGAGAACCTGATATCACTATTATTTCACGAATGATTTTAAATGATTGGCAACGTGGTAAATTGCCATTTTATGTTCCACCTCCTGGTTTTGAAGAGCCATTGATAAACATAATGACTGACGAGCTTGCAATTGAAAATAGTATTAAAAAAGATAACGATATTAATATAAATAAAATTAGAAATACATCAATTCAGAATAAAAATCCATCAAAAGAAATAATTCAATTATCTGTAGTACAAGATTTTCGAAAAATTAAAGTTGGTTTACCATATTCGGGTGATGATATAAAAAATAATTTATATTTTGAATCTAATTTTTCTGATAAAAAAAATAATGATATGGAAGAAATTGGATCAGTTTTGTCGGATTTAGATAATAAGAATGAAGAAACCATACAATTTGAAGAAATAATAGAAGATAAAGAAATTGCTCAAAATCTAGAAAATAAAAATAAAATAAATAAAGAATATTCTGATGATGATATTCATTTGCTATTAGAAAAAGATACTTTATTACAAAGTATATATGATGAAGTGGAAAAAGAATATGATTCTAGTGATAGTGAAATTTTGAACACAAATACTATATCAAGTAGTGGTATATTTAAAATTTCTTCCATATCTTCTAAAATGGAATCATTAATGGAAAAAGGAAAAAAATTAACAAGTAAACAAAGACGAGCCATAGAAAGAGCCAATAAGAGAAAAAAAATTGGAAGTAATTTTTATGAAATTACTAATGTAAAAAATAGAAATAGAAATAGAAAAATTCCTAAAATTAAAAGAAAATAATTTGCAAGGAAAAGATCAAAACAACCATATATTAAGTTATTGAGTTATTTGAAGTATTGATATCATATAAACTACAATATCTAAATTTTTTTCTTATTTATATTATATTTTTTAAAAATATATTAAATAAATTGATTTATAAATAGCAAAATGAAAAATATGAAGATACTGATAAATTTAACAAATGATTTTTTTAATATATTAAAATTCTATATATTTTAGAAAATCCATAAATAAATAAAGTATATATTTAAAATTTATAAGTAATTTTTTGATAAATCATTATTTATAAATCATTATATTATAAATTTATTTGTTCAATCATAATAAAATATAAATTGATATATTATATAATTATATATTTATAAATAAAATAAATCTTTTGAATAAATTTGCATAAATTTTGCTGAACAAATAGATAAGGAAAGTAAATAGCGAGAAAAAAGATAAAAATAGAATAAGTTAATGCCATTTTTAGAATACCGCAAATGAAAAATATAAATAGATAGAGTAAAAATTGATATCACTACTATCTCTTTAATTTTTTTTAGAATTTATTAAAAAGTTTGACACTCAAAAGATGTTACTGATAATTAATTCTTATTCTATCTTTAGCTTCCTTCTTTTTTAGCCTTCTATTATTTACTTTTCTTAACTATATTTATTCCATCTAGAAATAATTGATTTATATATATATATAATTTTTAATCTATTTCTATCCTTATCTCACTATTTATTATCCTTGTCTATATTTTTGTTTTTTTTTTATAATCTCAAACAAAATATATATTGTAGTTCTTTAGTGGTAATATAGAGGTCTATTGTGTTTGACATTCGTTTCACATTGTATATAAAATTTTTGTATGCATATTTTGTAATTTGTATATTAAATGTCATATAAAATGTGCATATAATAAGTTTTTATATGATATATTTACATATATACGTATACATATTTTAGTAAGCAAATAAGTATTTTAAAAATTGTATAAAGATATTTTAAAGAAATAATTCAAACATAACCACAAAATGCAATGAATGATATATTTAATTATAATAAATATTATATTAAATATTGAATTATAAAAATTTAATATACTTTTAAGAAAATAGAATTATAAATATTTTCAAGATTTCAATATACATATTCAAAATGCGTAGTCGTAGTAATTCTGGTGTTCGTTTGGATTATTACCAACGAATCGTACACAAAATCATTATGAAACATCAGAATGCAGTTACAGGACTTTTTCCTGCTAGTCCTGAAAATAATCATGCATGGGTTCGTGATAACGTATACTGTATTCTTGCTGTTTGGGGTCTTTCAATGGCATATAAAAAGATTGCTGATGCAGATGAAGATAGAGCCAAAACATATGAACTTGAACAAAGTTGTGTAAAATTAATGAGAGGTTTATTAATGGCAATGATGCAACAAAAAGGAAAAGTTGAACAATTTAAATCCAGTCAAAATCCATGTGATGCCTTACATGCTAAATATAGCTCTGTTAATGGACAAACTGTTGTGGGTGATACAGAATGGGGTCATCTTCAAATAGATGCTATATCTCTTTATTTATTAATTTTAGCTCAAATGACAGCATCTGGTTTACAAATTGTTTTCAATTTGGATGAGGTACATACATTATATTATAACTAATATTCATTTTATATAAAATATTCTTTTATATTATATTTCTAAATATATAAAATTAATTTTAGGTTGCATTCATTCAAAATTTAGTATTTTATATAGAGTCAGCTTATTGTACTCCTGATTATGGAATTTGGGAAAGAGGAGATAAAACAAATCATGGGTTGCCAGAATTAAATGCTAGTAGTATCGGAATGGCAAAAGCTGCAATGGAAGCAATGAATGAATTGGATTTATTTGGTGCAAGAGGTGGACCTACTTCAGTAATTCATGTATTAGCAGATGAAGCACAAAAATGTCAAGCTGTTTTACAATCTATGTTACCACGAGAATCAAATTCAAAGGAATTAGATAGTGGCTTATTATCTGTTATAAGTTTTCCAGCATTTGCTGTAGATGAACCTAATTTAATTCAATTAACAAGAGACGCAATTACTAAAAAATTACAAGGTCATTATGGATGTAAAAGATTTTTGAGAGATGGATATAAGACGCCAAAAGAAGATCCTAATAGGTAAAATATAATTTTTAAATTTTATTTTTGTGCATATTTTTAATATTTACTAATCAATTTTTATTAATTAATTATATTTATATTAGACTTTATTATGAACCATGGGAATTACGTATATTTGAAAATATAGAATGTGAATGGCCTTTGTTTTTTTGTTATTTAATTGTGGACTACTGTTTCCAAGGCAATAAAGATGCAGTAATAGAATATACAAAACAATTAGAACAAATAATGATTAAAGCAGAAGATGGAATAAAATTAGTACCTGAATTATATTCTGTGGAGACTGCAAATGTATCAGCTGAATATGCTGAACCAGGTAGTCAGAAACGTATTGCATTAGGTAGATGTCCATTTATGTGGGCTCAATCTCTTTACATATTAGGAAAATTATTACAAGAAGTAAGCATATAAATATAGGAAAAATAAAAATAGAAATTTATTTAATTATCTTTTTTAAATCATATTTCTAATTAATAGGGATTTCTTGCTGTGGGAGAATTGGATCCATTAAACAGACGTTTATGTAGTGAAAAGAAACCAGATGTTGTAGTACAAGTTGTTATTTTAGCAGAAGATGCTGAAATTAGAGAAAAAATAGCTCAACACGATATTCATGTACAAACAATTGCAGAAGTTGCACCAATTGAAGTGCAACCAGCAAAAGTTCTTAGTCATTTATATACATATTTAGGTATTTTTAAAATAAATTTATCAATTTCATCAATATATTTATTTTGTAAATTTTAATTATTTTTGTATTTATTTATAATATGTTTTTTTAGGTCGAAATAAAAAATTAGGATTATCTGGGCGTAAATCAAGAGATGTAGGAATTTTGAGTACCAGTAAATTATATTCCTTGAATGATAAAATATTTGCATTCACTCCGCAGGTAGGCATTTTGATATTTATCGAACTGTCATCTCTCTGTACTTTTATTTCTTTTCTTATGTTGCCTCTTGTTCTTGCATCAAACATTAGTTGACAGACATGACCCGCTTCTACATCGCATCGGACTATGAGCTCATGATTGACATATTCAAAGGCGAAATTAATTTCTTGAAGTCTAGCTGGCAGAACATGTTAGGCCGGCCTCTTGTGGTCATGCCCCTCAAGAACATTCATCTAGGTACAGTAATTTAATATTTAAAAACTATAGTTTTCATCTGTGTTACTTTTTCTTGTCTATTACATAAAAAATTGTAATAATAAAATTTCATGATTATAAAACTTCAAAGTAATAGAGATAAAATATATAGTTTTTAAATAAAGAAGTTTCCTTTCGGAATTTTAAAGTTTCCTTATTGAAATTATGCAAATACATTATCCAAAAAACATCTAACATGTCTGCCTGCATGCGTGCATTTGTTTTTGTTATCAGTTTTGCTTTAATGGCTATGGAAGGTCTTGCAATTTGATTAGCTATTATTAATATTTTGCTAATTATTAATTTTTATCGTATAATAAGTTAAGTGTTATTGTCTTCATCATGAGCAAAATCAATTAATGTTGAATATTTTAACGAAAATAAAATAGTTTAAAAAAAACAAAGAGGAATTGAGGAAAGGCCGTTTTTTCTTCAATATAAAATCTAACATTCTAAGAAGAATGCTTATGTGTGCGGTGGTGTGCGCGTTTGTTGCATGTCTTAGAACTTTGACGCGGAGGAGTACTACACGACAAATGATGCAGCCCTCCTTGCCAACACTTTTACAACCAACTTGGCCTTCCTCACCATCAACTGGAAGCAAATGCTCGGCAGGCCAACTATAACACTTGTTGCTACTCATAATCATCTAGGTATGCCACAGGCAGCTTTAGATCATCATTCAGGATAAAAATTTATTTAAAATGTGTACTAAAAATAGGATAGAACTTTGTTAAAAACAATATGTTAGAACCAATATAAAATTTGCACATTGCTTCTTTTATTTTTTGACAATAAAATCAATATTATATATTATATATATTTTATATTATATATAATACATGATTGTCATTTCAGATCAAGGAAAGATACCATTAGCAATGATAACTACTATGAAAAAATTAAAAAGTGGTTATATTAATGGTACTCGAGTTTCGCTAGGAAACTTAAATGATTTTTTGAGTACATCTTGCATTACAAATCTAAGCTTCTTAGGAAGTTCTGAAGATGGTAAACCCGATAAATTAAATCCTCAGGTAAATAATATTTTTAGAAATTAATGTAATTTAATATTTTTTTAAATTATACACATTTTAGGTTCAACAATATTTAGAAGAACATTTGATGCGTGCATTTCCACATCGTACAGGACTTCTTAATAGACCTATAATTAGAAGTGGAAAAAATTTAAGACGCAAAATGTCAGTAAAAGGAGCTATAAAAAAAACAAGATCAATTGCTGTAGAACGTAAGTGATATTTATTTTCTTTATTATTATTACAAATTACTTAATTTTTTTAACATTCTTATTGCATGCTACTTAAAGTGGATCCTTAAATATTTATACAATATGATCCTATACTATGGTTCCTACCATCCTACAAGAATGTAAGTTTACTAACTCTTAATTTCCAAATTATAATAATAAAAAAGAAAATATAAGAATAAAAAATTTAACATCTTTAAAAAATTAAATTTTTTTTTAAACATATTATTACAAATTGAACTCAATATAATAACTAAATAATTCGATAATTAGTAAAATAATTTTTGAAAAAAAAAAAAAATAATTATATAATTTGTAGCTGAAATTCTTGGGATGGCAGGAGAAGATAGAAGACCTTCTGCTATTTTAAATACAAATCCATTTATTGAAGTGACAGATACAACATTAACTTCTAATCCTATGCAATCAACTTCAATGGATCGAATACCTTCTCCTACAAATGAATTATTATCATGGACAAATTCTCCTAAGTTACATAGGCATAGAGGTATAAATGAAACTCAATATGCAGATACAGAAGTTGAAGAATTGTTAACTATGCTTCGAGAAACAGAAAGTTTAGAAGAACAAGGAGACATTTTACAATATCTTGTAAGTGTAATTTAATATAAGAAAGAAAATATTTTATTATATATAGTAGATTATTAAAATTGCATAGAAATAATTAAGAATAGAGAATTGTTTATTTAAAATCTATTTTAAAAATTTTTTATGAGATGTATTAAAAATAATGATTAATAATGAAACAATGTATTTTTTATATAACATATGATTAATTTTTTATATAATTATTCTTAACTCAATAATGAAAAATTCTTTTAATAATAATTGAATATATAATATTTTAACTTTTTAATGTCTATATAATTTTTTTAAAAATAAATGATTAAAGGAAATATAAACAATAATAATAATAAGGAATACAATAATAAATACAATAAGTATAATTAAAAAATTTTACTTCTAATTTTTTTATACTTTATCTAAATGAAATAGCTTTATTTTAATTAACATTGAGAAATTATTTACAAAATTTTAAATATAAGCATAACATATATAAAAAAAATTGTATTATGTAAGTATTATGTTTTGTTAAAGGATTAAAGATATTTTTAACTTTATTTAATAATAATTTCAACATTTAGGTTGATTCTCAAGGTTTATATTTTAATACTGGCATGGTAGAAGAAGGTCATCCAGTTTTGATAAAAGATTTACTAAAAGATTTGTATGAAAAAGCATGTCAACAAAAAATGTGGGGTATTGTACGTCATACAGCTGGTATGTTAGGAAAACGGGTCGAAGATTTAGCCAAAGCAGTTACTGATTTATTAGTTCGTCAGAAACAAGTTACGGTTGGAATGCCACCAACTAACGAACATACTATTGTTGCTCCATTGCCAGAAAATGAATTACGAACTTTAATTCATCAAGCATATGGAGATGATGAATCTACTGCTATGTTGACACAAGAATTACTTGTGTATTTAGCGATGTTCATTAGAACTGAACCACAATTGTTTCATGAAATGCTTAGACTTAGAGTAGGTTTAATCATTCAAGTAATGGCTACTGAATTATCAAGAACTCTAATATGTACTGGAGAAGAAGCATCTGAACATTTGCTAAATTTATCACCTTTCGAAATGAAAAATCTTTTACATCATATTATGAGTGGAAAAGAATTTGTTATTAGTAGTGGTATGTTTATCATGTTTTTTATTATTATATTCTTAATTTACTTAATAAAATAAAATAAAAATATTATCATTTAAATATTTTTATCAAAATAAGAATATTTTCATTTTTAGTTGGTCGAGGAAATTTTTCTGTTATCAGTTGCAAATCTAGTAAAGTCAGTAAGGTAATAAAATTATCGATATGACGATTATTAGTTTTAATAGTTTTATTATAATTTTAATATTTTTTTTATATATTTTAGAAATCACAAATTGGAGGTTTCTTAAGTCCTGATCAAACTGATGGTAACGAAGCAGAACCAGATCGACAAGGTCAATGGCTACGACGAAGAAGATTAGATGGTGCATTAAACAGAGTACCAAGAGATTTTTATCCTCGAGTATGGCAAGTACTCGAACGAGTAAGTATACTTATTATATCTTAAATTATAATGAATAAAATTTTTCTCAAAATTTGAAAAGCAAGTATTCCTATTCGTTATTGCTATATTTATATATATTTATAAATATATATATATAAAAAATATCACTTAATGATTAATTAAATCAAGATATTTAACAATAGATATTTAACATAAAAAAAAACTGTTTTCATATTGGATTATAATTATAATTCAAATTTTTTTCAAATTTTATTTTTAAATTTTAAAATTTTGTTAAAATTTAAAACAACTTATATTTAAAATTTTTCATTAAAAATTTCAACTTTTATAGTGCCAAGGTTTAGCAATTGAAGGTAGAATTTTACCTCAAAATCTTACACAGGAAATGACACCAGGAGAATTAAAATTTGCATTAGCAGTAGAAACTGTGTTAAATACTATACCACAACCAGAATATCGTCAACTAATAGTCGAAGCTTTAATGGTATTGACTTTAATAACTGAATATAATGTAGTAACTTCCTTGGGTGGACTTATTGCTGTTGAACAATTAGTTCATAAGGCTAATGCTATTTTTTTAGATGATCAGGTATAATTTCGATATTTAATATAATAGCTATGAAGTAAGATATACACATTGAATCTATTTTAAATAATTAGATGAAGATCGATGGTGATGCTACTTTATGTTGTGCCAAACCAAAAGAACAACGTGAAACAACTGCAATGGGAAATCTACTTTGCGGTGGAGCAGCATATGTTTGTCAACATTTTTATGATAGTGCTCCAAGTGGTAGTTTTGGAACAATGACATACATTACAAGAGCAATAGCTACATTATTAAATTGTTTACCAAAAGATAGTGATTTAGAATGTTCAATATCATAATTATTTATTTTTTAAAAATAAATAATAAAATTTTGAAGTTGATTTATATCTATCTATATCTTATAATTTATATTTATATTAATTATTTAGAATTTGTTTGTGAAATATAAAAATTTAATTAAAAAAAAAAAATATTGTTCAATTTCTATAATAAAATTACCAGCACTTTTAATGCATTAGATATATGATAATTTTTACTAATTATTCTATAATTAAATTCTTTTATTTTATTTAATTATATTATACACTGTAATACATATATTATTCCGATTTTGAACTCGTAAAAGGATTCCAATTTAATTTCCATGTTGAAGACCTGTGAAAATAACTTTCCATTAATAAAATAAAATAAAAAATTCTATTATTTTTTTTTTCATTAAATATAAAATTAAATAAAAGATAATTTACTAAACATACTTTTCTAAAGTTTTTTTTGCTTTTTCAACTTCTTCTTCTTTAAGTTTAGCAATTAACTCAGATCTAAATTGAAGTTTTAAAGGTAATATTTTATTTACTTGTTCTTTCTGTTTTATCCATTTTTTACAAGCTTCCTTAAATGTTAAACCATACCATTCAATTTCTTCTCGTGTATACTACAAATATATATGTATTATTTAATATATTAATTAAATAATTAAATATTAAAAATTAATTAAAATAATATTAAATTAAAATAACAAAATTAATTAAACAACATATTAATTAATTAAATGTTAATTACTGGTGTTAAATATTCTTTATATTTAGTATAAATTTCTTCTCTTTTAACAGTATCATTTGGATATAAAGTTTTGTCGGCCAATGACAAAAGTATTTGACGTTTTATTTTTAGTGCTAGTTCAGACTTTAAATCGCAGGCAGGAGTCTGTAAATGATAAAATATAAAATATGATATTTGAAATATGTAAATATTTTTTACAAATAAACAATATACCTTTAATAAATAATGATCAAAACCATAATGTTCATTAATTAAATCAATAGTTCTATTGGTGATAACAACACTCAAATATGTATCTAATACTTCACTATAAACCACAGATTTTTTAAGTGTAGGAAACCAAAAATGAGGGTGTCTGCGAGCATATTTATTTTTTTTTGTAAAACCTTGTATTACAGCTTCACCACCCCATATACCTTGATGAAATTCTTTAGGATATAATAATGGTAATGGTACATTTTGAACTGGATATCTAAAAATTAAAATTTATTTAATAATACTAAGTTTAAAAGAATATAAAAATAATAATAATAATAAAAAATTAAATATCATTAATATAAGAAAAAAATTATTATTGATATATAATATATTGATATTTTAATTCAATATTTAAGAAAATCAATATTAAAGAAAAAATTCTTTAATCAATATTAAAGAAAAGATTTAACAAATTTATTATTATTATATTAATATATTATATTATTAATTATTTACACTTCTTCTGTTTCTTCATTTCTTACATATTTGCCCTCTTGCTTTATATAATGCACAGCAGTTGGTATTTGTATTTTCCATTCTCTCCAAAACTTTTTATATTCTTGTGGTAA